AAATGACTAGAGATCTGATGACGGGTGGGGTAATAATAGAGGTGGGGGGAGCACAGATCACCAGAATGACTGATACAGAGGCAGGGGGATCCTTGCACTGCAGCTCCTCAGATTCAGCTTCCCCTCCAGCGAGGAGAACAATGAGCAGCACAGCGGTGACATCACCAAATCTGGGGAGAGCGGCAGTCAGAGGCGGCGGAGCCTGAGATCTCACACTGCAGATATCCAGCCATGAGGATATAGAACAGGAGCACCTAGGTACAGGAAGTGCACCTACATCAGGAGAGTCTAGGTACAGGAAGTGCACCTATATCAGGAGTGCCTAGGCACAGGAAGTGCACTGATATCAGGAGTGTCAGGCACAGGAAGTGCACTGATATCAGGAGTGTCAGGCACAGGAAGTGCTCTGATATAAGGAGTGTAAGGCACAGGAAGTGCTCTGATATAAGGAGTGTCAGGCACAGGAAGTGCACTGATATAAGGAGTGTAAGGCACAGGAAGTGCTCTGATATAAGGAGTGTAAGGCACAGGAAGTGCTCTGATATAAGGAGTGCCTAGGCACAGGAAGTGCTCTGATATCAGGAGTGCCGAGGCACAGGAAGTGCTCTGATATCAGGAGTGCCGAGGCACAGGAAGTGCTCTGATATCAGGAGTGCCGAGGCACAGGAAGTGCTCTGATATCAGGAGTGCCGAGGCACAGGAAGTGCTCTGATATCAGGAGTGCCGAGGCACAGGAAGTGCTCTGATATAAGGAGTGCCTAGGCACAGGAAGTGCTCTGATATAAGGAGTGTCAGGCACTCCAATCATCCACCTCACCGCTCTCATCCTCCATCTCTCCCCCCAGATCTGTCCCTCCACGGCCTGCGCACCTACACCCTCAACCGCTCCTGCTGCTACGACACCCTCCTGCTGGACGAGGAACGCGGGCGCCTCTTTGTGGGCGGGAAGAATTACCTGTTGTCGCTGAGTCTGGATGACATCACCAGGAACGAGCTGGCGGTAAGCACCACTTCCTGCACCAGGTTCAGGGTTGAAGGGAGTGACCCCCCC